CCTCCTCCTATTGAGTTCCCTCCTCTCTCTGGGCCCCGAGTCAGTGCCCGGATCCACCCTAATGAAATGGTGGTGAAAGAGATCTGATGCGGCCCAAAGTGGGAAGTCAGAGACGTTGCCTGCAGTGTCCTTGCTCCCGCAGCTGGGCCATCCCTCACCCTGCTTAGAGCCCTTCGGGGTTGGCCTTCAAGGTCTGCCTGGCCTGCCCCTCCCCCACCTCCTCGCCCCGCCCCGCTCCCGCGCTCGGGTCTCCTGGCGGTTCCTCTCCCTTGCCCCAGGCTCCCTCCTCCGGCCCCCTGTGCTTGCGACAATGGGACACGTGCAGATATCCTCAAGGTTCACTCCTACCTTTCAGGTTTTTTGCTCCCTGCAAGGCCTTCTTCCTTCCCTGACTACACTGTTTAAAATTACAACTACTCACCCCACAGCGTCCTGCCCTCTTTCCACACCTTATATGCGCCTTAGATTTTAACACCACCTGCCATACTCTGTATTCCTCTTACTTATTTTTCGTTCTCTCTCTCTGCTCCAGTATGTCAGCTCTATTGGGACAGCCAGAAGGTCCCCAAATGGGTGAGGACTTCTGCTGGTTTTATTCACCGCAGCATCTCCAGTACCTAGAACAGTGCTGGGCGCTCAAGAGGATGTTTGTTTCATGACTTGAATGAAGGGAATTGCTTTCTTGTGTTCTTGCAACTTTCCTGCCTGGGCCCTCCTACCGGCATAAACGACTGATAATGGGACACTACTGTGTTACCTGAATCAGAGAGCTTTGTAATCTAGTAGGAACCAAGCACACCTCCAAGCTAGATAAGAAACCTCACAGAGCACTGGCCTGCATGGCTCAGTGGTTAGAGCGCTGGCCTGCACACCGAAGGGGCCCAGGTTCGATTGCTGGTCAAGGCAACCAATTGATGATATTTCTCTCTCTCTCTCTTTCCCTCTCTCCCTCTCGCCCTCCCTATCTAAAAATCAATGGAAAAAATATCTTCAGGTTAGGATTATCAACAACAACAACAGAAACCTCATTGAGCTGGACCTAGGGGATTTTCTGGTTTTCTCCACATCTTTCAAATCACAGGCATATAGCCTGTGTTCTTTTTCATAAGTGCCCAAGCCCTGGGGTGATACAAGGGTAAGGTAAGTAGGGCCAGAGCCTAGGAAACCAGGGTCCTACTTCTTGCAGGGGCAAAGGTCTTGGGTGGGGCCTATTGGAGCTGGGTTGGGCAGGGCTGGGAGTGCCCAGCCAGAGGGCCTAGCTGGTGCAGGGTGGGGGCTGCCCTGGAGGAAGTTCGTGGAGCCTAGGTCGGTTTCAGTGGACTGCTGGCTGCTGGTTTCCTGGTTACTGGGGGTGGCTTTGGCCCAGAAGGGAGACAGAGCCCTCAGGCAGTGTGACTGGGCTTAGTGGAGGGCTGAGTTCAGGTCCTTTGGCTAGAGAGAGGGTTCCCTGCTGTTGTGTCTGGGTGGGGTGCTATGAGGCTGGGGAAAGTCATGTCACCTCTCTTAGGCTCAGTTTCCTCTGTAAAATGAGGACAATGATGTCTATATGACCCACCTCAAAGGGTATAATGAGAATAGAGGTAATGTGAGGTTATTATAAACCAGAGAACAACCAGGTCAAAACATACAAATGTGCAGGGAAATTGTGTACAGAATGTGTGGGGTTTAGTTGGGCAGATCTGAGTTTGGGCTGTCTTTACTCTCACCAGTCATGCGACCTTGAGAAATTCCTTTTCCACCTTCAGCGTCTGTTTCCTCAGGTGTGCAGAGGGGTACGTTCTGATTGCCAGGGTCAAGGAGGGGGGCAGGCAGAAAGAGGCGCCTTGTTGCTGAGCCTGAGTGAGGTGGACCTGCTGGGCAGGGCTGTGAGGAGATGAGAACAGAAAGCTTCATGACCCGAGGCCAAACTTCAGGGACTCTGCAAATAAGACTTTGGCTCTGGGCAAAACAGCTCCAATTAGCTTTTTGCTTAATATCTACCATGGCTCTTACAACCCAATAATAAAAAGACCAATAACCCAATTAGAAAACTGTCAGAGAATCTAAATAGGCATTGAGAATAGACAAAGAAGATATACAAATGGCCAAAAAGCACATGGAAAGATGTCTGACGCCATGAGTCATTAGAGGAATGCAAAGCAAACTACACAGAGATACAACTTCTCATTCATGAGCATGAGAATCAAAAAGAGGATGTGGAGAAATTGGAACCATCTATGATTCTGGTGGGAATGTAAAGTACTACAGTTGCTTTTGAAAACAGTCTGTTCCTCAAAAGGTAGAATTCCACATGACCCAGCAATTCTACTACTTACCCAAGAGAAGTGGAAACCTGTTCACACAAAAAAATATTTGTACAAAACTTCCATAGAAGCATTATGCGTAATAGCCAACAAGTGGAAACATCCTAAACGTCAGCTGCTGAATGGATAAACAAAAGCGATATGCATATCTTTACAATGGAGTATTTTATTTAGCCATATAAAGGAATAAGTTCTCATACATACAACATTGTGGCTGAACCTTGAAAATATTATGGTCAGTGAGAGATACCAGTTGCAAGGAATGACATATTGTATGATTACATTTATAGCAGCTATCCAGAGTGTGAAAATCTATAGAGACAGAAAGTAGATGAGTGTTTGCCTGGGGCTGGGGTGTGGGTGTTCAGAGGAAATGGGGACTGACTGCTAATGGGTACAGGGTTTCTTTTGGGGGTGATGAAAATGTCCTACAATTAATTGTGCTGATGGTTGCATAACTATGAATATACTAAAAAACCATTCAATAGTACAATTTAAACTGGTGAGTCATATGATATGTAAATTATATCTTGATAAAGCTTTTAAAATAAAAGCCACTAGGGTGCTTGCGCCCTGCAGCGCTGTGGTGAGTGAGTGCCCGTCTCCCAGAGGGTGCGAATGAGGAAGGGATGAGGCTGCCTTTGAATGGAGAGTGCTATGAGGGGGTGGGCGGAGGGTGAGGCTCAGGGCTCTAGGCATGATGCACATGAACATGTGTGAGCATGCGTACACACACACACACACACACATCCCTACACACATACACATTCACATTACTGAGCCTCTTATACAGAAACAGCAGCATGACCCAAGGTGGGTCAGATGCTCCAGGAACGGACCCCTGCAGTAGGTGCTGAGTGACAGTAGGAAGGGGAGTTCTGCAGCTGCTTTGGTCCAAGAGAGCTTCCCATTGGAAGTTGGGCAGGAGTTGGCGGAGAAGGAGTTACCTGGTGGAGGTGACAAGGTGTGTTTGGGTAGAATGTTGTGCATGTGTGTGCATGTGATTCCAAGGAGCAAAGGGCCAAGAAAAGAGGAGTCGAGAGAAGAGTGCTCATAAAGGAGATTGGCCTGTTTCCTATCTCCTGCCTAGCGTCCAACCCTCAAGCAGTAGCCATCAGGTTTTTGTGCAACATGTATTTATTTCTATGGGATAAATGCCTAAGAGTGCAAATTCTGGTTGTTGCATGTTTAGCTTTTTGAAAAACTACCATTCTGTTCTTCCGAGTTGCTCCCAGCAAGGCCTTCCCATTTTGCGTACCCACCAGCAGTGTGTGAGCAATCCAGGTTCTCTGCATCCTCACCAGCGTTTGGTATCATCACTGTATTTTACTTTCGTCACCTGTTAGGTGTGTAATGGTATCTCACTGTGTGTGTTTGTTTGTTTTTTGAATAATTTATTCATTTTAGAGAGAGAGAGAGAAACATTGATTTGTTGTTCCACTTATTTATGCAGTCATTGGTTGATTCTTGTATGTATGTGTCCTGACTGGGGATTGAACCAGCAACCTTGGCGTATCAGGCAGATGCTCTGACCAACTGAGCTTCCTGGCCAGGGCTCTCACTGTGGTTTTAATTTGCAGTTCCTTAGTGACTAATGATGTTA